ATTTATCCAATCATATTGTGATATAAAGTGATCAATAATATAATTAACTAATATTCTACTAAAAGTTCATATCACAATAGTATAGTAATAAGTTCTTCAAGATCACCTAAGTCATAAATAAGTTTTTCATTTTCTCTATTACTTTTTATTAATTAATTTGAGTTATTATCACTAGCTGATGATTCATAACTTGTCATACTTTTAATAATTTTGATGAAACTTATTTTTTTTTGTGCAGAATAATAATTACATATTGCTCATGAACCAGTTTTTGTACTGTGAGTTTGTATAAGATCAGTGATCAGCCTCATTACTTTATAACACATACATATTTTTATTTCAAATAAATCTATAAATTATTTAGAATTTATCATCAAAAATTAAACAATTTATTTTATATATGAATATTACTTTATCATATTAATATAATATTAAAACCAACCATTCAGTTTAGTATTTGATGAACTATCATGAGGAAATTTGCCAGACATTATGTAAGTTAGTATATCAAACAAGTTAAAAAATTCAACTGATATTTATTGTTGATAATGTGAAAGTAATTGTATTTTTTATGATGATAGAATAACTTATATCTGTTTATATAATAAGTCTGTGAATATAATCATGCTTTAATTTTTGGAAATTTACTTTATACAATATTAATATACGCATATTTAGAATCTTTAACTGAATTATTAAAGTTCTTATATAGAGATATTTTGATCTATCATTATATCTAATTTACTAAATATAGATGAATAATATAAAATAACGAATAAAGTATTTAATAAATTATCAGTTCAATATGTTAATGATTTATTTATTATAATCTTTATTAATTACAATACAGCTGATTCTCTTTGAGTATCATCTATAATGAATAGTAGTTTGTTTTAAGAAATTGCATGAATGATAATATTATTATCAAATTATAACACTTGATTATAAAAATAGTGCTCTGATTATCAATTCTTCTTATGCTTATTTTTATTCACCATTAATAGAAAAAAATGCGCCATTTGACAGCAGTTATTAACTGAATAATAGTATATACATACAGTTGTTTCGGCTTTCACATTAAATCAAAGTCCAAATTCATATTATTAAACTTACCCAATGAAATATGATGGCTTGTGTGGCTCATAATCACGGGACTGCCGATTATTTTCGGCACCACTAAGTTATTAGTTCAACCAAACTCTTTTTTTTGCTTAGTTCTCGAGTATCCGTAATTAACATGTGCGAGTATTTCGACCGAAATCCCAGCAGCTGGAACATTATTGACTTTCTGAATCGATGTCCGCTAGAACCATTCAGCCAGAAAATTGACTGTTATATCAAATCTCTCGACGCGATTGTTGCATCTGGTCAAGGTAGCAGGCAGGAACGCGCCCGGGAGCTTCTCGATGGTTATAAAAAGGGAAGTAAAAAAAGTTTTCCTTTTTATGGGTGCCGAAGTCATAAAGTGGCGTGACTGGGGACCTACTTGGTCGCCAGCCATTCAAGGCTATTTGCCGAGCCACGAAACTGGTGCTGGCGCACAGATATCTACTTGTTATCTAGTGTCAAAGGCCTAAAGCTGGCATAAAGCCTTGGCTAGTGCCGATCCAGCACTGGACCCACAAGGGCACAGGTGGCCTACTTGGCCCGCCTGATGCTCGGGTGGGAGATAATAGATTGGGCGATATGATTAGTTACTAATCCTAAATTCTTCGTCTAGGGTTCTCATCCAGACCGGCAAAAAGCGAGAGAGTGGGAGGCGAAACGCGCCCGTGGGTATATACAAATACATCAGCCAGTCAAGGGGAAAATAGGTACTGTAATCGGCAATATAAGTGGCAATGCCGACGTCAAAGCTTACATTTCTAAAAAAAGTGTGATTCACGGAGCGGTACGAAAGTGTATTTTTGTTTAGCTGTAAGCTGCATGAATCACGCAATTTATTCACTTTGCAATATTAATCTTTAGAACGACGAGCAAGACTCGAAACGGACAAAGATACATCATTTTTTCCCTGTACTTAATGCCGCTATGCAGACTCAGGCTGATAGCGATGGAGCGGCGATTCCTAAAGATGATGCCCTAAACGAGCAAGTCCTTCTACAGGAAGATCCATACTCGAGTGTCGATTGTCGACTAATGATTAACGGTGTCTGTATCCGGTCAGCGATGGAGAATTGGCGTAAATCGTCAAAACACGTTGACGAGATACACAAGCAAGAGTATGTATATGTTTGGTTTTTTTCTCCATTTATATTAATATGGATAGAATACTATTTGTTTAACTGAAAACGGTAATGCAGCTTAATGTACTATAACATTATCGACACAACCCCTTCCTCTGCGACGGGAGCTCGGCAGCTTTTCAACGATAGTTGGAACGATATCTCCTCAGCTGTAGAAGGGTTATTGGGCTCTCGATCCCACGCAATACCATTAGCTTCAAATTCTGGATCTTCAGCTGATCAAGACATGGAAAACGATGGACGCGCAGATGATATCAAGCAATACCTAACCAGTATACTAAAAAATGTGGTCAGCAGATGTTATTTCGAAGAAATACTAGGATTTTTGTTAGTTTTTTGTGCTTATCGTTATGTATCTTTTCTTAGAACACCGCAGAAAAGTTATGTGATGCAATCAAGAGAGAGCGCGAACGGTTGAGAACTAATGGCAATTTAAAATGGAAAAAACGGAGTTTGGCGTTATTGAAAATATTGTGAGCATCTTGTACAGTTAGTTGTTGGAATGTATTATCGTTATGTCTAACAATAGCATTAATTTCGGCATTATTATAGCCGGGATCAATTTCCACATAGAAGAAACTGCCTGAGAGAGCAACAAACAGAATACAATTACATAATCAACTTCATTTCGCGTGTCTTCAACTTGCTGTTGAAAGACAAGCCGTTTTTGAAATGTAGTTGGTAAGTTTGAAATGTTTTAATGTATGTAATAATACGATTGAGCTTGTACGTTACTAATTTCGCATCTTAACAGGGGGGAAACGACGCTGCGATCCTCTGCAGCCCTCCTGAACCAGTCACTAAAAGATGACGAGCGACGACACCCCGGAAACAAAATCGACGCAATCCTGTCGTTGCTAGAACTGGATTTGGAGTTCTGCACGTTGGAAGTTTCGGGGCCTCCATCGCACGTTGATCACACCCACTACGTTGGAGACAGAAATAAAACGGCGAAGATGCTCAAAATCATTCTGAATTTTATCAAAAGGAACTTCTCGGGTGATTTTGAGTTGTTCCGGAGGATAAAAGTTTATGGAATGCAAGTATACGGTAAGTTCAATCAACTGAATACCGCGGTTATATATATATAATATACAATGTCTTCCTTCATAAATCCTATAGATCATAAAATCTATATCTACAGCATGTGCGTGCCTTTTGCTGGCATTTATTATTTTAAACTAGAAAAAGATTTCCCCTGTCCGACCATGTCATTTTTGTTCTTCAAGGAACTGCCAAAATTCGCCTCGAACTTGTGGTTAATGCAGGTAAAGTATGCATGAGATGTTGAGTATTTCGTGATAAACTGATTGTACACTTTGCAAATTAGGAAATGATTGTCTCGAGTACCGAGCGCATATTGGCTTACGTCACAAATACTATTGCTGAATCGAGTAGTGACGACTCTAAGATCGATAAAACGAAGGTATCACCCACGGAAAAAAAGGATAAGAGTAAGATAAAGGGGAGAAATCATGGAATATATTAGTTTATCATAAAAATTATTACAGTTCTGGCGGAAAGTAATGGTGGTTAAATTTAGAATTGTTTTATATAATAATTTTATCTAAAATTTTATTTACATAATATATATAATTAAAGCATTACAGTGGCGACCAAAAGTAATGACTCAGGGGCTAAATTTACTAATAAAACATAGTGAAAATTGAAATTTTCTCTCT